TGAGAAAGGTTAAAGACAAAGGGAGAATAATAAAAACAGCAAGAGAGAAGCAGTTACCTGTAAGTGAGCTCCCATAGGACTTTCAGCTGATTTCTCTACAGATAGATACTTTTTAGACCTGAAGGGACTAGCAGGAAATATTCAAAATAATGAAAAGTAAGGGCCTACAACCAAGATTACTCTACCCAGCAAAGCTATCATTTAGAATCAACAGACACATAAAGAGCTTTCCAGACAAGGAAAAGCTAAAGAAGTTCATAACTACTAAACCAGTATTATAAGATGTTTTCAAGTATAAATAATAAAATGGCCAAATGAATAAGAAAATAACATCCATACATATACTGCTTACTAGAAAACCACTTCAGATCGTAAGAGACACACAAAGAAATGGATAAACATACTTCATGCAAATGGAAATGAAACAAAAAGCTGGGGTAGCAATACTTACATGAGACAAAACAGACTTTAAAAACAAAGGCTAAGCCCTGGCTGGTGTAGCTCAGTGGATTGAGCGCGGGCCTGGGAACCAAGCAACCACGGTTCAATTCCCAGTCAGGGCACATGCCTGGGTTGCAGGTCAGTTCTCTCCCTCTCTCCTTTCTTTCCCCTCTAAAGATAAATAAATAAAATTAAAAAAAAAAACACAAAGGCTATAATAAAAGTCAAAGAACGACCCATCAATTCCACAGACTGGGTATATACCCAAAGAAACCTGAAACACTAATTTGGAAGGACATATGCATCCCTATGTTTGTTGTAGCATTATTTACAATGGTCAAGATAGAGAAGCAACCTAAGTGTCCAACAATAGACAAATGCATAAAGATGATGTGGTACATAAATACACTGGAATATTACTCAGACATTAGAAAGAATGAAATCTCGCCCTGACCAGTGTGGCTCACTTGGTGCCACTTGGTGAGTGTTGTCCTGTGAAGTGAACAGCCGCCACTTTAATTCCCAGTCAGGGCACATGCCTGGGTTGTGGAGCAGGTCCCGGTTGGGGCACCTGTGAGAGGCAACTGACTGATGTTTGTCTCCCTCTTTCTCCCTCCATTTCCCTATCTTTAAAAATAAATAGATAAAATCTTTTTAAAATTTATAAAAATATAAATAAGTAAAAAGAATGAGATCTTGCCATTTGTGACATCATGGACGGACCTTGAGGGTATTATGCTAAGTGAAATAAGTCAGAGAAAAGACAATCATCATATGATATCACTTATATTTGGTGTCTAAAAACCAAAACAAACACATAGAGAACATTTTGATGATTGCGGCTGGAAAGGGAATTGGGTGAAAAAGAGGAAGGTTTTAGGATGTGCAAATTGCCCGTTATGAAAATAGTCTTGGGGGTGTACAGTACAGAGAGAATAGAGTCACTAATAGTGTGATAACTGTGTGTGGTGTCAGAGGGGTACTAGAATTACCCTGGGGATTACTTCATAATTATATAAATGTCTAATCACTATGTGGTACACCCGAAACTAATATAATATTTTATTTCAATTATTACCGAAAAGTTTAAAAAAGTTACAAAAATAAATTAATTGGCTTCAATCAAAATGGCTTGTTTAAAAAGACACCAGGCCTAATTTTCCTGGAGTTCCACCATGAGTTCAATGAACAGATACCACTAGAGTTATTTAGGATACACACAAAAAATGGAATACTGTCCAAAAGCATTCTCCTGCAACAGCTGAACTCTGATACCAATACCAGGCAAGGCGCACAAACAACAGACATAACTAACAAAACACATTAAACTAATCAAGTGAAATATAGTAGTGACTAAAATGATATATTATGATAAAGTAGGCTTTAATGATAAAATGCAAATATGGTTGAATAATGTGAAATATTAAGTTATTTAGTTCTTTATTATATGATAAAAATTCTAGGAAAGAAAAGATCATCTTTAATTTTAATGCAAGCTACATTAACATTTAGTAGAGATGCTACTAATTTTTCATTGCAAAATAATAAAAAGTGAGGAACAGGTGCCTTTATCATGATACCATTCCTGTCAGTCCTAACCAATGCAATACGAAGAGTAAGAATTAAGAGACACACTATTGTCAAAAAGAAAAACTCCCATGTACATGTCACTGCCTATTGAGAAATCAAAGTGGATCAACTGAAAAACTATTAGAGCTATTAAAAAGAGTTCAGTAAGGTGACTGAATCTAAGAAATTAAAAGCATTGTTACACAGAAACAATACCAATGTTAGAAAATGTAGTAACAAAAGGATCCCATTAAAAATAAAACATAAAATGTGAAATACCAATCAATAAGGTTGGAAAAAAGTATGCAAGATTTATTCAGTGGGCCCTTCTGATCTGCAGGGGGTATGTTCAAGACCCTCCGTGCATTTCTGAAACCTCCGATAGTCCTGAATATCTTTATATACATATTTATGTATGTTTTCTGTTGATACCTTCCAAGCACAAACTTAATTCCCTTTGCACCTTAACTAAGCCCTTACCACGTAACTGTGGCCTTAACTTTTGCACTGTGAGGTGCAACAGCAAAATTAGCACCAATTCCTTTTTCCTCCTTCACAATTTCATGACTAGAAAATTTGCTGTCTTAGGTCTCGGATACCGCAGAATACAATTCTTCCCCTCCCTTCCCTGCCCTTCCCTTTCCTTATTAAGAACTTTAACCTTTTCACTTAGAGAAAAAGCACTTGTTGGCTTCTATTTGGCACATCTGGATTGCGAGCTTAAACACAAGCACTGTGATACTGCAAGAGTTGATCTGATAACCGAGGTGGCTGCTAAGTGACTAATGGGTGGGGGTGTACAGCGTGTATGCTGGACAAAGGGATGATTCACGTCCCGGGTTGGATGAAGGGCATCACCTGAGAATTCATAAAAGCAACTAAAACTCATGAATTGTCTATTTCTGGGATTTTCCATTTAATATTTTCAAACTACAGATGCCATGCATAAGGGAGTACTACTGTACAACTTAAATGATGAACCTTGAGAAAGACGCAGGGACATTATGAAGTCTTTGGACAGGAAGAGTCAATGCTGTGACAATATCACTCTTCTTAAAGATTTTAAATCCAAAAGGATTTTAAAAATAGAGCTTGATAAATTCAAGCTCATTTCATAGAATACAATTGCTCAGGAAGAGCTGAGAAATTTTTGAGACGAATGACAGGGGGATTCACAAGTACCCACACACCTAATAAAAACTACAGTGATAAAAAAACATGAGACAAAGGAATGGATGAGTGATCAGTGAACACAAAGCATTCCAAAAACAGTTACACACACACATAGGTTGAATTTTAAATTCATGGGGAAAGGTTAGATTAATAGAAAATGATGTAGAAATTAACACTTTGTTAAATAAAAAATTAGAGAACATGCATTTGGATAATAAATATATAAAAAATGCTCATACCTCTCTAGTAATCAAAACATGCAAATTAAAATAACTATTGCTAACGAGATTGGTAACACTAAGTGACAATATGCAATGTTTTTGAAAATTTGGGAAAAATTAGCCCCTTTCAATGAATAGTTGGTGAAAATGTTTTTGGAGAGCAACTTGACATGATATACCAAATAAAAAAATAAGCATGACCCTTGACAAAAATCTCAATTCTAGGAGCCCACTCTACTTAGAAATATACTCAGCAGTACTATGTGTAATTGCAAAATCTGGTAACAATTTAAATGTTTATAGTTGGGTAGTGGTTAAAACATTCTCATACACTTGTACTATGTGACCATGAAAAATGATAGTGCACATGTATATGTACTAATGTGGACAAATTTGTAAGACATTCAATTAAAAAATCAAATGTCAAAATAATATAATGATGTCTCATCGCACTGTGTGCTCACAAGGTTTCACTGCACACGGAAGTGTCTTAAGTGACACAAGCCGCACGTTACTGTGCTTGCCTTTGCGAAGGGGAACAGAAATATGGGAGACGGGGTGGAGAGCAAGGGCTCAAGGTGGAGGGTGGGGGTGAGGTTGTTCATTCTTTGAGTTGTTCACTTTGGACTTAAATTGTTAAAATACATATTCATTTTATTTAAATGGCTTTAAAAAGTTTTGCAATTTAACAACAAAGAGTTGGACTAGAACAAGGACTGTCGGCTTCTTCGCTTGCTTTATCCTAAGCAGATGGAGGGGCTTTACTTTTTATCAATTTTGCATATTTGACTTCTCGATAACATTGTATTTAAACACAGGGTTGTATAATAAAGTTTTTTTGAGCACTAATAGCCTATAATGGGCCTGAAATCAGTTATATCTGTGTGTAATTAGTGTGCAGGAATATGTGAATCTTGGTCAGGCTTCCTGTTCTACTCGTATAAGGAAGACAAATTAATTTTAGTATTAACAATATGCAAAAGGAGAAACTGTATTGTGAAGAAAGTATATGCAAAGTTTAAGTGACAAAAACTAAAACAATAACTGACTTTGGAAATCTGCTTCTACCCTTCACTTCCCACCCCAAGTGGTTAAGTTGTGTCATATTCTACTTCTAGGGGGTCAGGGAACTGTTGTTGATCAATGCTGCCATTATTTTTAAAATGGTGACAATTTTATGATACATACACTAATGTTAAGTGATAAAAATATGTAAAAACTAAGAATACTTTAATGTTGCAGAACAAAAATTAATTTAATTCCTAATGGTTAGTGCAACTGCTACTGTATTGCAGAGCAATCAGGCCTACACTGTAAAATTTCGAGAGACTAATACTAGCATTGCTTCTCTATTCTTCAACAAAGGTGATTTTTACTTACTAGTTATTTTTCCAGTACTTACTGGAAATTTCCCCAATTTAATCCAATTTCCCCAGCTCTACCCCAGCTCAAACCATGTTTTGTTTAATATGTTCACATTATTAAAAGATAAAAGGTCTATATCTCCAATAGCTAGAAATTCTTGTCTCTGTTACCTACTTGTAAAAATGACTGAACACAATTTTAGATGAATAACGAAGCAACACATATTCTACCTCCTTTCATGGCTATTTTAATACAAACAATACAAACCATATTACAAAATATAGTTCATTTTTTTTGTAATGGACATTTTAAAAACACTAACTTTATAACATAAAAGCAAATTCCAAGTACAGCAAAGACATGAAAACAAGAAAGTACTAGAAAAAAGGTTGCATAAATGTATTTATATTCTGGGAATGGAAAAGATCTTTCTAAAGGGCATAAACCCAAATACAGGGGGCGAGGGAAAGACTGCTAAATCTGACTATGTTAAGATTAAAAACTTATATATGGCAAAAAAAATATCACAAAATGACTCTAAAAGGCAATAACTGGAAACACATATTTACAATACCTACTAAAAACAAGAGGCTCTTTAATTTACAAAGAATTCATACATATGAATAAGGAAAAGAACAATCCGAAACAAAAACTGGTAAAAGATAGGAGTTGTCAATTTAAAAAAGGAAAATTATTTTAAAAATACCAAAATGTATAAAAATATTGTCAAATCTCATTCATAGTCACGGAGGCCCCTCATAAACAATAAGGTACCATTTTTCCCACACAGAACGTGGCAAAGATTAAAATGCTTGATGACGCCTAGAGCTGGGGATGTGGAGGAAAACACATACTTTAATCACAGCACAGAATAGTCGATGATTGCGAAACATCCTAAAGTAGGAAACTGGTTAAATTACACCATATCCGGGAGATGAAATACAAGATAGCCACTAAAGGGACAAGGCAGACCTGTGTGTATGCACTGAGAGGAAAAGGTCTCTAGGATATACTAGTAAAACACAGAGTAACTGAAAAAAGGGGGTGGGGGAGTAATGAACAGTGCGTCATGGAGGGGGAAAGTGTATTAGAGTCTCCTGCAATTCCTTTCTGTTTTCCAAAGGAGATTAAAACACTGTTATCTCTAGACAGATGAATGAAGGGTGGGGGTAGAGGGAGGAAGACTTACTTTTCATTTTGTACCATTCTGTCTGTTTCTACCCTTACAGGTGTAACATTACTTATTTCAACAGGGGCTAACTGGGTTTGTTTTCTTTGTATCTTTCTGTATTAAAAGAAGACCACACAACAACTGTTTTCTATACAGTCACATACAAAGATGTTAAATCAAAACATATAAAATAAAAAAAATAAAGGCAGAGGCACATACACACGCAGAGCTTCTGACTGACATCAAACACAGGAGGAAGCCTACCTCTCCCATATCAGACAACACTTACTCTCTTTTTTTCCTGTAAAATAGAACTTTTTTGCATTTTCATCAATAACTTTATTGATTTTTTGAATATGTCACCTATCTCCCATGTGGTATAATGTTGATTATTCTTAATTAATGTCTCGAACTGATCGCTATCCACTTGAACTGGTCTACCTAACCATGGAGCATCACCCGGCGAGAAAACTCCAGTATGAAACTTCGCAAACCACTTTTAACATCCGATCCGTCGCGGCACCCTTTCCATACACTGCACAAATCCTTTTTTTGCATTTCAGTTGTGTTTTTACCTTTCTTGAAATAATACAGCATACCATGCCAAAATTGCGTATTTTCTTTCATCTTCAATATTAAAATGAGTACACAAAAATTCACCAATTAAGTTTTTTGAATGCACACTGATATGACGGCTGTCACGATATAATCTTAACAAAATTGTTTCAAATGAAGTTAAAGACAACGAAGTGCTACTAAAGCCACCTTATGGAAAAAAAAACAAATTTTTTGGTCAGCCCAATACATAGTTAATATTACCCCAAAGTCTCTAAGTAGTTCATTAATATTCATCAACCTTCTATAAATTTCCATTTTACACGGTGATTTAAGACTATGGGTACAATGCATATCAGTGCATACAGAAAGAAATGTCAAGTCTCTCATCTGAATAAGATTCTGACCAATCTTTTCTGAACGTGATCTTTTTGTTCTTGTACCGCCTCACAGTTATGATTCAGAGACTGGTTTTCGGATCAGGTTCCCAAAATAAGCAGTGATTGTCTTCAATTTATTATTAAGAAAGTTTTGTTCTATTTCCACTTGCCCTCCAGGCCCAGCTAAGGACGCCACCTAAAAAAATGAACAGAAGAAAGTCACACATTCACAATCATGATTTTGAAATAAAATTTTCATTCCTATGTTTCATCAAATAATAAGGCAACTCATCTTTGTATTCAAGTCTGTCCAATAAATGAGGCACCTCAAATGTTCACTTTACTTTCCACATGTTAATGCATCATTTGCTGGCAGAAATACCTGCTGTTTCGGACACTTTGGATATTACAGGGAAGACCACAGTGCTGTTATTGTATACGACCCAATCTCTCCAAAGACAGAAGCTAAAGAACTCAGAGGAAGAGAAAATGAACAGATTGTTCCCAAATATCAGGTTTATTAAGATAGAAATGTAAAGAATAACTCACTTTCCTGAATACTTTTGTCCTGTTTACCTTAGCTTTGGCATCTTACCCTCTCATTCATTCAGCAATATTTACTGAATGCCCACTACATGATACTAGGAATAATATATCAGAGAGCAAAGCAGGTATGATCCCACTTTCGTAAGTTCAAGTCTCTACTACCTACTTTTTCCTTCTCTAACTGGTCTTTCCCAACCTGGACCACCTCCTCCACCTTTTGCTTTTTTGTGTGTGTATTTTTGCCTCCTTCCCAGTTTAAAATAAATATTTTATTTATTTATTTTTAGAGAGAGGGGCAGGAAAAGAGAGAAACATTGATGTGTGAGAGAAACACAGACTGGCTGCCTCTCTTACCACTGTCAACCAGAGCCTTAGCCCACAGCCTAGGTATGTGCCGTGACTGGGAATCAAACTGGTGACCTTATGATGGCTTGCAGGATGATGCCCAATCCAATAAGCCACACCAGTCAGACCTACCCCCCTTTTAATTGGGGTAAAATGTAATGCTCTTTTTGAGGTCAGCTAGAGTACAGTCACCAACCCCTTCACTGGGATGCTACAAACACCCTCTCCACCTCTACGGAGTTAACATCAAAAGGATGCTTCAAACTAGCAATGCTTTTACCTTAAGTTCTTACACAGATAAAGTTTTGCTTTAGTTGAACATTTATTTATTCATCCAACTTCTTGGGTCTTTTAACTATCAAATATATTGCCCTCTAGCCCACCATTACATCACAGAAGATCAGTTTATGGAGGCGGCAGTGAGAAAGGAAAGGAGGATGCAGTGGGACGGGCCCTGGGAGTCACTGAACAGAACCCTGAGTGGTGGAGAAAGGACATCACAAAGTACCATGAGGGACAGGTACAAACTACAGGAGACCTGCTTTTCTGTAATTCATTCTGTAACTGAAATTGGCAAAACTGGTGTGTTTTTGCAGAGATGTGCTACTGGTCCAGTTGGTTTGGAGGCTGCAAAGATCTACTGTCAGTGGCATCACATGTAATGTTCCAGCAGTGGGCAGAGGAAAGATTCATCGTGCATTCCCAATGTGTACGTAATTTTTAAAGCACTTCAGCTTCCTCTTAGAAAAGAAGCCACAGATATAGAAATACGGAAGGAACAACAGCTCATTCTATGGTACATTCTTAAAAGAAAAACAAGTTGTCCCATCAAGACAGTAAAATGTCAACATTAACTCCGGCCTGCACAGGGAAACAAGAGATGGCTGTTTTTATCAAAAGAAACAGATGACAACAAAAGTCAAACACACTATCTATTAACAATGATAAAAAGCACATGTACATCCCACTATTTGCTAATAAAAATATAATGATAAAAGTAAAAGTAGAAATTAAAAATAGTCAACTCATCTCAGAGTGGCAATTATTAGGAATGATAATCTTCTGTTCTGGTATATCATGTCAGTCTGATTTTTCACAAGGGCAAAAACAATTTTGCCTTTAATAAATGGCATTTTTTTTGTTGTGTTTTTTTCCACTTTATTTTTTTAATTTTTTTTATTGATTATGCCATTACATTTGCTCTATTCCCCCCCTCCATTCCCCTCTACCCTGCATACCCCTCCCCCCCATTTCCCCTTTTAGTTCATGCACACGTGTCTCAAATTCTTTAGATTCTGTATTTCCCCTACTATTCTTACCCTCCCCCCTATTTTCTATCTACTGTCTATGCTACTTATTTTCTGTACCTTCTCCCCCCTTCTCCTCCTCCCACTCCCCTGTTGCTAACCCTCCATGAGATCTTCATTTCTATGGTTCTGCTCCTGATCTAGCTGTCCTCTTAGTTTGCTTTTGTTTTAGGTGTGGTTGTTACTAACTGTGAGTTTGCTGTCCTTTCACTGTTCATCTTTTTTTTTGACTAGTATATCTAAAATATAACTGTTTCACTAAAGTTTCTACGTGTTAAGGTATAAACGAAGTACAGTATTCTCCCATTCCTTTAACAGTGATTTACTTAAAGAAGGTGAGATTGGCAAACTGAAGTTTTCTGGAGAGGTAGTAGCAGGGGTTAGGGGAAGAGAGGGGAAGGAATAGGAAGGGTAAAGAGGACCAAAGTAGAGCTGAATGAACAGCAAAACGTCTGTTATGATGGGTCTAGCAGGAAAAAGAAAAGTCAGAGGGAAATTTTAATGCCAGTTCTACCAGTGATTTGCTGTATTAAGGTATAAAGCTATTAAGATAGGCTCCAGCTTTCTAAATCTAAAAAATGGGAGTACTACCTATCTCCCTAAAAAAAGCATTTTGTAAGTCATAAATATAAAATTACATAAAAATAAATCTTGGAGAATGGAGGGCAGTTTCTTTTTTTCTCCCCCCTTCTCTCCTTCCCTTTCTTTCTCTCTCTCCTCCCATTATTTAGAGGGCTGTTTGAATGCGGGTACTTGGATAAAAAAAGGAACTACAAGCATAATGACATGCTTACGTGAGAGGTTCCTGAGATCTATTACAAAACATTTAATAAATTATTTTATTCATGAATCTTACATTCTAGCTGGGAGAGTCAGATAATGGACAAATAAAACAAATATTATTCCTGAAACTGGAGAAAAAGGTGAATCTATGTCAAAATATAATGAGAAGACATATCTATTTGTGCTTAAAATAAATTTACAAAAAATGTATTTAATGTTACTTTCAAGTGTTCTAATTAAAAGTAATTTTTAAGTTTAGCCTTTTTTGGTACTTTCGCACATTTTCACAACTATGTGTACTTGAAGTTAGAATTTTGGAGTTGCAAAGACTATAAATCCTTATGCAAACAATGCCATCAATTTCCAGCTGTCTTTATTTTTCACAAGCAGGTTTAACTGGCAAATGTTATTTGGTTCCTTCCCCCTTCTTACTTAAAGTTTAATAAATTAAGACAGAAAGAGAAATGGAGACAGGGATGGAGAGAGGGAAGGTGTGAGGGAAAAGGATAGGTATGTAAACAGACAAAGATCAGCAGCTCTGGATTACATGCTATGTTTTTGGAGATTTACACACACACACACACACACACACACACACACACACACACACACACTCAAAAGAAATCCCAATTAGTCTACACTAGCACTAACAACTAAAAAGACATCAGGTCGATTTTTCTATCAGGCAGTAAAGTTGCTTGGGGATAGGGTAACAAGAAATGGTTAAAGATCACAATGAAGTTGGTAACTTTAGTAACAGGTAAGGCATATTAGATTTAAGAGTCAAACATTCAAAACTGCATTATTCTTCAAAAGCAAACTGATTTAAAGTAAGTATGTATGGTAACTGGATGAACGAGAGAAAATAAAAACTGGATCTTAATGGCAAAATATATAATATATACAAAGGACAGGAACACTTCGTAATAAAGTGACAGTACATCAGAGCAATGGAAAAATGTCCTTTCACTACAAGGAAATTATACCAGGTGAAGATGAAGAGTATTTTTTTATGGGGCTCACAGAGCTCTGTCAATTACAGTGACAAGAGCAGCAACCATCTGAAATATTGGCTGTGAGTAGAAACCTAATGCCAGCTTCCAGTCGAGATAGTGGCACAGGTAAACTGGTCTCGCCTCCTTGCACAACCACATCAAAATTACAACTAAACTATAGAATAGCCATCACTCAATCTGTCAGAAATTGAGTTGAATGGAAGTCTGACAACTATGGAATTAAAAGAAAACAAAACACCCATCCAGACTGGTAGGAGGGGTGGAGACAAGAACTGGCTGGTCCCACATCCATGTGTGGTGGATAAAAATTCAAGAGGAATTATCTTGAGAGTGAGGAGTCCCAGCCCCACACCAGGCCTCCCAGCCCAGGATTCCAGTGCCAAGAAGATGAATCCCCAAAACCTCTGGCCGCAAAAACCAGAGGGGACTGAGTCAGTGGAAGAAACTTCTAGAGTCCCCAGCAGTTTCTCCTAAGGAACCCACACATGGACTTACTTGGACCCCATCTCTGTGAGCTCAAGCGCCAAGGTAGCAGCTTGAAAAGCATCAGTGGCACACAGGGAGGAACTGAACTATGTGACATCAGGGCGAGCAGAGGCCACTATCCCTTTCCTGAGTCCTCCCCTGCAGAGCCACAGAGCCACAGGGCCTGCAGGACGGGCCCACGTCTGAGACTCCATCAACCTGGCTAACACTGTTTGCCCCACCCTGGGGGTCCCCAGAGATTCCATTCCACCCATCTTCTGGGCCCACCCAAGCTCCTTTTCCACATGAATGGCTGGTCTTGGACCATGCTTCACAACCACCTAAATTCTTTCAAACAAGCAACAGCCAGCCTCAGTGAGCCTTCAGTCCCTGTATCTCTTCCTAAGTGGCCCAGGCGTGACTCTAGCAGCAGGGAGTCTAGATTCACAGCTTGGCTTTGCCCAGGAATCTCTATGCCCAGCACCAGCAGCAGCCACCTCAGATTACTTTATAGCTCAGGCAGGGTGGCCCCAGGCAAAACACAGGTGGGGGCTGACTTTGACCCACACCACCCAGAAAACCCCAGGGCCAGCACACCCAATGGACAGCTACAGACCACAGTGTAGCACCATCACCCTTCCCACATACAGCTGATCTTCCAAGGAGGGCAGAGGTTGGTGGTCAGTGTTTACAGCCAGTCCTTGCAGCTGAATTGCCCAGGTAAACCCCTCCGG